ATAATTAAAATAAATGTATGCAGTTTGGTTCACACCCACTGTTGGTATCTGCATTTTATTGGTTAATTCGAGAGGCACGGTGTCATCTTGTGTCAGGTAATGCTGACACAAGAGTAGAGTTGGAGAAGTTGTTCCAGGTTGGCTGAAGTGTGACGTATTGGCAGAGAGTTGGCTCTGAGCCAGTCCGAGGAGTCAGTGGGGCTCAGTCAGCTGAGAAATGGAGAAAAGTCCTTGTAACTTCCTCAAACACCCCGGAGTGATGAGCCAACTGCCTGTTGGAAGTGATGTTGTATGGAAGGAGAGGCATCCCTTCTTGTAACAGCGTGAACCTTCGACTTTCATCATATTCATTGTGGTAATGAGAACAACTTTCCTGGTAGGATAAAACATCCTTCTCCTGATGTAAAAAATGACTCGCACTGCCAACGAGGATTTTAAACACTTTGAATCTAGTTCACGAATCAGAGATAATGTTTACCTAAATTTTTATGTAGTCCAAATTGAATGTAGTGAACTTGACCTGATGTCAAATCTTGACCTTAGGATCATATGGTCAGAAACTGTCATTTCATTGATTTGCATCCAGAAATACAGGTTGATCGATCCTGAGACTTTCTTTCTTGAATTAATCAAGTGGAAAAGACAATTCTCTATGATCATTACTATTTTACAAATGTTTTGATAATCAAATTGTGTTAGTTCAAACAATGTTTACATGTTGAAGTGAACTACTCATTTTTATTTACTTAAACAGTAGTAATGATTTTTAATCCTCAATTCAAAGTGAAATCAAGTTAGAGTACGTTACAGAGTAATGATTCAATTTCTTGATCGTCTGCTTTGAAGTGAGCAAATTTGTAAGTGTGTCAAAGTTCGAGTTTCGGTCAACTAAAAGTTTACTGAAAAGAAATGTCATGTTTAACTTTTACAGCGAGATTCTAGGAGGAGTGACTCCACGAAGTCTGGTTTTTCCATGATATCTTTCTGTATGTTCTTAAACAATCTGAATCTTTTCCTTGACTTTTAATAACACCTTACATCACAAACCACACCTCTGCTTTGGTCCATCGACCAATCAAAAAGCTCTCAAACGAACCGGAAGTAGAGCCCATTAAAATGTCGGCACTTCCTAGTTCAAGCAGAAGTTTTTGGAATTCAGAATGCAGAGAGTTTGGGAGTTCCAGAATGCAGAACGCAGGCATTCAGGATGCTGCTGAATTAGAATCAAGCTGAACCAGAGACGATTTTGGGAATTATAACTTCTGTTTGGATAACCTCACACGACTCTCGAGGTCTTTAGCTGTTCTTACGGAGACGCTGAACAGTGGCTCGAAGTGGGACTTCACGCCGGAACTGATCTATCTTCAGAAAAGGTAAAAGTCGACCTTCACCAAAAGTGTACTGTTGGGACAAGCTGATTTCCAAAAGAGCGTGCTGTTCTGGTTAAAACAGACAAATTCCCTCACACATCTCTCTGTAGATAAATCTCAATTTTCCATCTTTAAACTCTCCTATCTGCTAGCAAATTAATCCAGATGTCCTCAGAAATGTCTGTGGTGAAGCAACGGAAAATCATGGCCGTATGGTTTTCCTGGTTGTAAAGCTGATTAATTATGTTGTTATTTTCATATTCTGCCAAATTAATGTAAATGTTTGATGTTAAACTTTGATTCTGTAAATAAATGACCGCATTCATTTTGATGGGTCTAAGATAAATAACGTCTCACGTTACATTTCTGTTAAATTCAATGCACGACATCATTCAGTCCAGAAAATTGAAAGAACTCGTTTAATGTATGAATATATCACAGGATATGTCATACTACATGAATATACCTTTTCTCAAAGTTTTAAGCTATTGTATTTAATATTATTTATCCTTTTGAAATAGCACTATTTGGTTATACATTCATATTTCATATTTGCCATAATTTCATATTGTCATTATTCATACTGAAAATAAACGTTACAGAATTGTGATTTTAACTGACCCAATTGTCTTTATTTGGGGGAGGGGGGGTCACAACATAGCTAAGAACTCACATTATTATTCTGATTAAGGTCAGTCAACATTTATTACATAACTTTGAACGGTTAGCATAAACACCTGTTACAAGGTGTCCAGACCTCTCTAAGTATACTTTTACACTCAAGAGGAAATGTCTCAGAAAGCGGGTAGTGTGGTGAAGAGGTGAAAAAGCGAGTTTGGGCAGGATTAAGTGGATGGAGAAAAGTTTTTCAGGAGTGATTTTTGACAAAAGGCTGGCAGCAAAGATCAAAGAATATGTTTATAAGACAGTGGTGAGACCAGCTTCTGTAAGGATGGTGCCCTATAGTGGCGGGTCCCCGTCCATACACTCCCTGGTTTCCTTGTTTATTATCTTGATTATTCCCACCCTTGTTTCATCCAGGTGTTTGTGATTGTCACTCTGTTTGTGTCTGTATACAAGTCTGTGTCTTTGTGTCACTCATTGTCGGGGCATCGTCTGTGATCATCTGGTGTTTGTCTCGTCTCCTGTTTTCCCTGGTTCCATGGTATTTCCCTTGTTCCTATGTTTTGTAAGTAGCTGCCACGTCAGCATCTTTATTTTGTTTCATTAAAGTATTTTATTTCATTTTACTCCTCGTGCCTCTGAGTCCTGCCTGCAAACTGGGTTCATCTCCCAACACGCCCAAAATCCTGACTGCTGCTTTGTATGATTTGGAGACAGTGGCATTGAGTAGAAGACAAGAGACAGAACAGAAACTCTTGAGATTCTCCTTATGAGTGACAAGGATTGATAAGGTTAGGAATGAGATTATCAGTGGTACAGCACAGCTTGAATGGGTAGGAGACAGTGGGTATACAGGTAGAAGGATGTTAAAAATGCATCTTCCAGGAAAAAGACAAAGAAGGCCAAAAAAGAGATATGTGGATGAAGTTAGAGTGGACATGGAGGTAGGTGGAGCGAGAACAAAGGATGCAGAGGACAGAGTGAGATGGAGGAGGATGACTTGCTATGGAGACCACTAAAGAGGAAACAGTCAAAAGAAGAAGAAGAAGAAATTTAACTGAGATGAATCATTCAATGATTTGCTCTTTTTTTGGTGTGTGTGTGTGGGGGGGGGGGGGGGGGGTGCAGAAGAAACTACAACATTTTACTTGATAATTTAGTGAAATTTTTATGGAACAAAAGACCTCATGAAGTGAGATATTACTTTTATTTTATTTACAGCCTGACAGCAGAATATACTGTCTGCTGGAGAGAAGAATGAAAGATTTAGAAATTTGCTTCTGGCTTCACCAGTTTAGTTACAAGAATTGAAGACATTTAGATTGCAACTGTGACTTCATGTGTTAAAGACACATCAGCTTTTATTTTCCATCACAACAAGAAACCATAGACATTTTCAAGTTATGCATAGATAATAAACATGAACACATTTATCACTCACCTAAAACTCCTTCAGTGTTGTCTGCAGATGGCCTCTGTCTTAAAACTGGCCAAAGGAATTTGTTGTCGTGTATTTTGTATTTGAGCATGAGCTATTAACGAAATAAGTATTGGATCAAAATGTTCTGATGTCAAGCGAAACTTTATTTTTCCTGTTTTCAATTGTATACTAAGACTTAATCTGATGCTAGATCAATTCTTTATCACAAACAAAACGTGTATTTTATTTTTACATTTCAAGTATACAATAGTGCAATTGTACACAATCTTCTTGTTTCACTAATATCACCACAACAGAGATTTTTATAATTTTAGACATGTAACTGTATTCTTTCATTATCTTGGAAAGACATTGTAAATTTAGTTTTGTTTTTTCTTTGAAATCATTTTTATTCTTAAAACATTTCAACCAAGGCCATTTGTTAAATTTGTGCAGTGTGAAAATCTTGCAGGGGTCTCTGCAGAGCTTGACCAGGTGAAACGAGCCAGCAGGGGGATGCCATAGGAGGGGAAATACTGTAGTCATCAGCAAAGGAGCTACAAAGAAAAGTTAAAGAATTAAAACGTTGTCTTCTTGTTAAGAAATTCAAATACCTGTTTGCTTGTAGTAAGTGTACCTGCTAGCTTTAATCACACGGTTTTCAATTTGCAGTCTTCCTTTGCGACGTCCCGGTTTCTCCTCATATTCAGTCTTTAAAGCTGCACAACAAGATTCATTAACTCAAGCTACGAAAGCAAACATTTGGTACATTAGATTAACAAGCATTAAGAATCAGCAAAAAGTTACAACTCTAGTGTCAAATTCAACTGGGTAGAATCAAACCAGCCACTAGGAAGCACCAACTAATGTATTTCGTGCTGGTCCCAGGCCAAGTAAATAGTGAGGATTTTGTTAA